CCAGGCTTTGGGTGCCTGTTTGAGGCCATAGAGAGCCTTTTTAAACAAGCACACATGATCAGAGAAGAGTAGATTCTTGTATCCCGGAGGTTGCTCCATAAAAACCAGTTCTTTGAGCTCGCCATGTAAGAAGGCATTCTTTACATCAAGTTTTTTGAGTGGCCAGTTGCGGGTTGTAGCAATAGATAGAACAATTCTAATCGTCGTAGCCTTGATGACTGGACTAAAAGTATCCTCAAAATCAATCCCCTCAATTTGGTTGTATCCTTTGGCGACAAGACGCACTTTGAATCGTTCCACAGAGCCATCTGCATTGAGTTTGGTTTTGAAGACCCATTTTGATCCTACAATGTTCATATATGGTCGACGAGGAACCAACTCCTAAGTATCATTTGATTTTAAAGCACGCAGTTCTTCATCCATAGCTTCCTTCAAGTGTGGTTTGGACATTGCATCCTTTATAGTCCGTGGTTCTTTCAGATCTGGATTTGTTGTAGCAATGAAAAGGGTATGAAATGTAGGATTGGAGATGGACTTGGTTTTGTTTCTAGTAAGCATGTGATGGGTATTAGGCGGACTATATGGTGGAGAGGGAGGCGAAGAAGTAGGCAAGGCTGTTGTGGGTTGTATAGGAGGGAGGTCAACAAATAGTTGAATACCTTTAAAATCTGATGGGTTTAATGAGGAGATACTGGATGAGGAAGTTGTATCAATATTATCCATGGAGCTTGAGGAATGTTGTTCTGAACTTTGGAGAGGAGATACTGGAAGTATGGTGTTTGAAGTACTTGATGAAGTACTGGTTGTAGTATCGGTTGGTTGCTGAATTTGTGAGTGTGGAGGAGATTGTGCAAGTTGTTGCTGCAACTTATGTAATGGCATGGCGTCGGATTCATCAAGGAGCTGAATAGGAGCATCCACAAGTTCAGTTGTTTGTTGTATACATGGATCAAGTAGAGTATGTGTACTTGTACCCTTCTTTAAGAATTCACTGTAAGTAACAAACTGTGAAGAGTTCGATTCTTCATGTACAGTAGAACTAGGAGGCACATATGGCAATTTTAACTCACCAAAAATAACATGCCTTGAAATATAAACCCTCTTAGATTGAGGATGATAACACCTATAACCTTTATGGAGAATACTGTACCCTATAAAATACATGAAAATGTTTTTGGCTGAAATTTATTTTTATTTTGTCCTTTGAGATAGGAAAAACAACGACATCCAAAAATTTTCATAATATTGTAATCGGGTTCTTGCCCATATAACTTAGTAAACGGAGAGTTCATACCCAAAGTTGGAGTAGACATTCTGTTGATCAGAAATATGGCAGACATAAAAGCTTCAACCCAAAGAAATATTGGTACATTAGCATTAAAAATCAAAGTAAGACCTGTTTCAACAATATGTCTGTGTTTTCTTTCTGCCACTCCATTTTGCTCGGGTGTATAAGGACAAGAAATTTGTCTCCTAATCCCATTCTGAGCCAAGTAATTTATGAACTCCATGCAATTAAATTCTCCTCCACCATCACATTGAAACGCTTTGAGTTTCTTGGACAATTGATTTTCCACCAACTTGTGAAAGGTTATAAAAATAGGCAAGAAGTCTGATTTCTTCTTTAAAGGATATAACCAAGTAAATCTCGTGCAATCATCCACAAAAATGACATAGTACTTAATACCTTAAGAGGAAGATACGGGGGCTGGACCCCATAAATCACTGTGAATTTTTACGAGTGGTTCAACTTCTCTTTTATTTGATACTTGAAAAAGGTAACTTACAATTCTTTCCCATTTGACAACTAGTACAAACTGAGACATTTTTATTCCAACTTCTAACATCAATCAATTTATTTTTATCCAAAAATTTAAGTATTCTTGAATTTGGGTGTCCCAATCGTTGATGCCACAATGTGTCTGAATTTTTTCCTTCCTTTGTAGTTGTTAATGCTTTATGTAAGTTCCCTTCAAAAGTGTACAAACCGGCATTTTTATTCCCTTTTGCTAGAGTGATCCTCGTTCTCAAGTCATTAACAATAAAACCCTTGTCAGTAAATTTCAAAGAGCATGGATTGTCTTCTACTAACTTGCTAACAGAAATGAGATTCTTCTTGAGATTAGGCACAACAAAGACTTCCTCTAGATGTAGGTTCTTACCAATATACTTATCTCCTACATGTGTTATGGGTAGTTTTTCTCCATTTCATATCATTACCGAATCACATCCTTGAAAAGGAGATGGATTTGTGAGAATACCTGGTGTTTGTACCATATGATTAGTAGCGCCTGAGTCCATATAAAGATTATAATCAGTTTGATCATTGAATGACATAGCAGCTAATGCTTTTGGTACTTCTTGTTGCGCCTGATAAGAGTAGTCCCACATGTAAAAACAGGAAAGTGCAGTATGGTTATTTCTGCCACAGATTTGACATGGATTTGGTTTTGAATCCTTTTGTTGATTATTTCCATTGTAATTATTTTCACCAAAGTATCTCTGATTTGGCGGTCTATTGCCTCTTCCTCTTTGTTGTCCTCTTCCTCTAACAAAGTTGCCACGACCTCTTCCTTGGGATTTTTGAGCTATAAATGCCATGTTAGTGTCAACATGTGTTTGTCCCGATTGTTCATCAGAGTCCTCTCTCATTTCAAATCCCCTAAGAGCATTTACAAACTGCGTGAATGTTGGGTATGGAGGTTTCCCTAACATAACAGTTCGAAGAGTTCTGTATTTACTCCCAAGGCCTCTAGCAAAGTTGATAACTTTGCTATCTTCATCCAAGGGCTTGTGTATAGCCATAAGACTATCACATATCCCTTTGAATTCTCTTATATATTCATCTATAGACTTTGTTCCCAGTTTGATAGCTTATAACTGTTGCTTCAACTGAAATTCCTTATCTTTGCTTGCTTGTAGGTAGGTATCCTCAAGGCAAGACCATATCTGCTTGGCCGTTGAGCACCCGATAATGAGAAACATTGACTCTTCTGTCATTGTTCCGGATAACCAACTCCTAATTAGAACATCACGGTCTTCCCATTCAATGAAATTTGGGTTTGGACTAGTTTCTCCTTTCTCATTTTCTAGAGTTTCTTCTGGGGCTTCGTCTTTGATAATACTTATAACTTTTAGAGTTTGCATGAGTTGGAGAATTTGTGTTCTCCAAACAAGATAGTTTGTGGGTTTAAGTTTAATAGAACAAATAGTAATGAGTTGGTGTAATGAATATGGTGAAAGGGTCAGGGTTCTATTTGCAGAGGTAGACATGATGAATGTTTGGTTGGGAAACTTTCAGGATCTGCGTTCAATAGAGCCTAAGCTTTGATACCATGAAGAAATTCAATAAAATGAAGAATATTTGGAACTCTATTTCTTTCGCTGTGTCAACGGTGCATATGATGAGATATTTATACACTATATAGGAGAGTCCTATTAACCCTTCCATCCTAATCTACACAGAGGTATATTTGCTTCAACATTCTCAATAATAGAGTTTGAGACTTACATAAACACTTACACCTACAAATTACTCATACAACTGCCGGCTAGGATAAGTCACGTGTCCGTGGTCTTTAGGTGATTGTCTAACACGCTCCAGGTATTCTGTATTCGTCCTGTTCAGCTTGAAACCCTTAGACTCAAGAGCCTGTCTCCAAACCTCTAGCCTCTTGTTAACACCGACTCGCGTTTCATCAATCAAAACTATGTCATCGGCGAATAGCATGCACCATGACACCTCCCCTTGAATATGGTGTGTTAAAGCGTCCAACACAAGGGCGAATAGGAATAGACTGAGCGCAAAGCCTTGATGTAGCCCCATAATAACCGAAAAATGTTCAGAGTCGCCTCCTACTGTCCTTACCCGTGTCTTAGCCCCATTATACACGTCCTGAATCGCCATAATGTAAGGAACCGACACACCTTTTGCCTCCAAGCATGTCCAAAGATTGCAGAACAATTGAATTTGATAAAATTTAGGACCAGCCTGAAGCGAAAACCATAGCTTTGGTGACTAGTACAATGCTCTTTACATTGGGTTGTCCATCGAGTATTTTGTCTCTTCGTATAGGAGCAACACAATAAAAATTCAGTTTCCCACTTTCCCATCAAGCAGAGAAGCAAAACGGTCATCAAGAACAAGCATTTCCTTAATTAAGAAGAAAGTAGTGAGAAGTCCAAGCTATCATGGCAGAGAAGCAAGGAGCAATTGTCAAGAAGGGCAACGAGGAAGGTTTGAAAATGGCGGTTTCCCTACTCGAAGAGTTCGGACTTCCAATGGGGCTTCTCCCTCTTGCCAATGTGATTGAAGTGGGATTCGTGAACAACACAGGTTACATGTGGATCCTGCCAAAGAAAAAAGTTGAAACAAATTCAAGATGATCAGCAAACTGGTAAGTTATGACACTGAAATAAATGGATACATGGAAAAGAAGAGAATCAAGAAGCTTAAGGGAGTGAATGCTATGGCCTCCAGTTAATGAGATCACTGTGGATGATCCTCCCACCGGCAAGATTCAGTTCAAGAGTCTCGCTGGCATCACCAAAACTTTCCCAGTTGAAGCTTTTGCTGCTGGCCAATAAGGGAAATGATGCATTGGGAAGAATTTAATCTTAGATGTATTTGGATCAAAAGGGTGATGGAAAAATACCTTTCATGTTTCTTTTTGCTCTGTTTTGTTGTGTTTTTTTCCTTTTCGCTTTTGGTTCCTTTAACTAGTGTCAATTTTAACCCTTTTCTATTCCACTAACAAGAATATAAAAGGCAAGTCTGACTTGCGAGAGATCAAGACAGTCATTCAATAAGGATTCAGGCTTTATTGGCAATACAGATTCGTTAGTTAAAATGACTGCAAGAGAAGAGTCAAAATATGAATATTACGTGCTATTTGATTCACTATTTGATCTCTCAGCATGAAACTATTAAGTAGTTGGCAGACTTATATAGAGAAGTGACCACCTTTGATAGAAAAATTCATTCAAAGAGATAAATGAAATTGTTCGCAATTCCATTAGGCTTTAATTACTTGAGATGAACTTTACATCGAGTACTCCATCATCAATCAAAAACCGTCTGCTTATGACCGAGTCCCAGACTCGAGGTCATGATCGAGGACATGACTGAAGCCCAGGATCAAGGGCCACGATTGAAGCCACGATAGAGGCCCAATTCCGAAGGCTGCCTGGGCGGATTTATAAAAGAGGGCATTCGTCCCATTTGCCATTTTTGACGAACTTGAGCTTGAGCAGAGGCGACTTTTGCCAGATTTTCAAAGAAATATATTGGGGTTAAGTGATTCTAACTCGGATTTGGTCAATATACTTTCAAATATCATATAGCTATACCCTAATAATATGCAGGAAGACTGTAAGTTTTTAACCAATTTACATAACCACTAACCACGTCTCAATAGAAACCAGCAAATACTTAAAGTTGGCATTCATCTAATCGACTCTTGTGCAGCTGAAATGCGGGGTTAATCCATGCTCCACAGTTGCACTGCATGCCTGCCCAATTGAAGTAACCGAGACGTGCTTTGCAACCCAGGCACTGAAGCTTATCTTGGACACAACCATCTTCAACTGTTAGATGAGTTTGAGCTACATTAATAATTGAAAGATGGAAAGCAATTTTTCGTAGGAATAAAGGAACAGATAGGAATGAGACTCACCAACTTGCATCCACTTCATGGGCTCAACAAAAATTGAGGAGCATTGAGGTGCCTCCTGATCCCAGGGATTGTTGCTTCTCTTTTTCCACTTGAAGCATTTTTGGCCTTCTCCGGGTTCATGTGGAACAACTTGCTCTGCTGATGCAACAATCCTTCGACATTTCTTGCAGCGGTATATGACTTGTGGTTTTGCTTCAGTACTAACATCAGTGTTATTAGCTGCTTCCATGGGTACTAGGTTACTTTATCTGTTTACAGCCAATGGAAAGCACAGTGTAAGAGAAGATTATTGCAGAGCTGCCATGCTTATAAATCATAAGGAGAAACAAACTAATAGTATCTTGCATGTGCAGAATAATCATGATATAAAAGCATTGATTCATGAGTGCAATAAGACATGTAGCCCATTTTATGAAGAAACCCATAAAAATGCATGTATAACAAGTTAATAGCCAAACATTTTAAAAATCATGAAAGATATCTTTCAGCATACTGATGTCCCGTATCATAGGTGATATCACTTTGTCTATTATCTAACATTTCATAAGCCAATCTTGAAGCACAAAAGTTGCTACAGGTCAGCAATTTGACATGACCGGTTTGTATAACATATGAACATTAAGAAAATATAACAGAAAGCACTAGCTTCATAATTAAAGTACGATAAAAGTGAAGGCAATAGAAGTACCATTATCAGAATAACCCAAGAATTAATTAAAAAAAACTCATAAAAGGGCCAATTCCTTAATCAAAACATGTACAGGTTGTTTAATTGTAGTACTAATTCACCAGAGAGAAACTTAATCCCTAAGAGTTAAATCATATTGCAAGAAAATCCACGAGCTTAGTCTGTATTGCAAATGAATATCCATGTTAATCAGTCCTACGGATCTCTACACAAAGCGCACTGCTCAACTTGCCGATATAAAATAAACCATCAAAGTATACCAAGAACTGCACTAACACGATAATGGGAGGGCATAGATGCAATATAGACCCAAATATAACCATCATCCAAAAATTAAGAATCAGGTTCCGTGATTAGTTACAACCTGGCCCCTGGTTGCAGAAAAAACTAGACAGGTCCTGCAATCAATCTACTAGTCAAGCCTGCCTCAAAACTCAATCCCAAACCAGTTAAAGTCAACTATATGAATCTTCAATATATGTTTCGCAGTATCCGAGTCTGTTTCATTCAAATACTCAACATGTAAATTTCTCTAAAACTAGATGTCCCCTAAATCTAACTCTCATCACACTCATCATTACACTGATATGCAAGTCTCGTACCTTCAACTGTTGCATTAAGAAAAAAAGAAATACTATAGCAACGATCCAATAGACCAAAAGTATATGGTACACCTTTGTGGCAGGATTCTGAAACAGGTCCAAGTTAGATATCACAATGTCCTAAACTACACTTCAATTCCTAGTCATTAATTAATGTGCAATTGTCTAAATGTCGCAATAAAATTGACTCATGTGCATGGCTACACAATAAGCCTCCCAAAGAACCTTACAGAGAAACGGATAAAAATTGGTCACTTAGGTATTAACATAAAAAAAATCACTTTTCTCCATTCAGAGAAACATCTAATTGGATAATTTTTCCCATGAATTTAATGATGATCGTAGAATCGAACACATGCATATCTTAATTCAACAAAAAACACCTCGTAAGAACTCAGACGGGAAAAGCGATTAACAGGAAAAAGAAATAAAACTTACAGTTATGATTTTCTGCCGAAGAAAGAGAAGTGCGGGGATTTCGTCGGAGAGGAAGTGGAAAAAGAGCGACTTTGTAGCCATGAGAGAGTATATGGCGGTATTTGAAGTTTAGAGTCCGATATCAATTGGGTTTAGGGTCTGAATTTCGGGTGGATTTGGGCTCAGAAATCCATGAGGCCCAATCATGACATCCCAACATACCCAAAGTTTGTAGCCGGACATATTCATTATTTACTTTTTCTAGTTATATACATAATTTATATATTGATTATACGTAATTATACACATATAGAACATAAATTATACATATATTATATCTCCACCGACTATTTTTAGTTTAAGCAATTGGATGAGCGGCTATTTGGATTAATTTGTCAAGCTAAGTTTGTATTCGACTCGTGGAAGGTTGATATATAATTTTTCTTACATTATTAGTATAATTCAAAATATTGTAACAAACTTCAAGTCCATACAGAAGTCACTGAATTATTAGGTGAACAAATTTCTTTTCTTTAAATCAAAAATGTCATTTATTTTTGATATTTGATTTAAAATGTCATGTTTCTTTCTTTTGTATCAGAAAAGTCATTTATTTTTTGCTATTTCACTCAAAAGGTCACTCAAGTCAGTAAGATATTCAATTAATTTTTCTTATTGTGACACCTGATTATTAAACAAAAAAAGAAAAAGGAGAAAATAGAAAACATTAAATCCAAGCCCATTTTAACCAAAACCTTCTATTTCACTCAATACCCCCATCTAGGATGGTTTTAGATTTTTGTAAATATCTTTCACAAGAAATATGAATTACTGAGCTCACTTTTCCGTGACCTAATTTTGACCATAGAGGATTTTCCTATTAGCAGCAAAATTCGGATATGAACCATAGCCATATTTCTTCAAGCGTCCCAAAGCAATATATTTTATTCTGATCAAGGCACGTTTGGCTCGAGGGTGGTTAACCTTCCAGGACTAAGACTGTTCAATTCGTGTGGTTTGCATTCACTTTTCCATTACTTATTTCAATTGTAAACTGATTTATCATTTTGTATCAAGTTAGATCACGTATCCTTAAAATCACTTACAAATTTAATTGTTATCCGATTTTGAGAGTAAACAGATACTTGACGCATTCTTTTGTTAATCGATTGCTTAAAATTAAGAAAGTCCTTAGACCGTTAGACGATTAATTGACAGGTGAAATAACATATGAAGTATTTATAACCATCTATTTACAATAAGTATTACGATGAGGTAAAAAGGAAGTCATTGTGCCAAATTAGTCCTGCCTTTATTATGCATCATATGAAAACGAAATGGCTGCCATTTCCATTTCGTACACCTCATTTTCTGATGACCTTAGACTTGAGAGTCCCACATCACTTGTATACATTTTTTCTAGTCTAGGTAGTGTGTCATCAAGTCTCCTGATCAAAACATTATCCTTTGGTAGTATATTAGCATTTTATTATTAAAATAAAATATGTCATAACTTCCACTATTCCATGATGTAGAAAATGACCACAATTTTTTTGTAACTCTTTTTTCATGTTCTACCACTAATTACATACTAATTTTATCATTATCCCATGTTCTCCATAATTTCATAACCTATTACCCCACTTTCTTCCAATTTAATTTAAGGAAGAATTTCTACACCTATAAATAGGAGTCTTTCTTCCATAATATGGTGTGAAAAATAATTGTAGAGTGTTTCCATAAAGTGAGGTTAAAGTTGTGAAAAAGAAGAGAGTTTTTACTTTGTTGAAGGAAGGTGTTCATTTTGGTGGAGCTTTGGACTCAAGAACTTGTTCAGAGTTTGTTTGAGTCATACGACGTGATCGGGTTGTTGTATCATGGGGGAGACAAGTCAAGAGGATTACAGCTGGACCAGTAAAGACTTTGTTGTATTGGACTTGAATCTCCTTAAAGAGAGCGAGATATCCGCGCCTCAGCCTGAAGATATTTTTTATTTTCTTCATTTTATTTTTCAACTTTAATTGTAATTTTCACCAACATCCTTTATCACTCCTCTATTTCGGTATATATGATAATATTTTCTTTTTAGTCCGTTTAAAAAAATATCTTTATAAGTTTGAAAAATACTTTAACTTAAATTTTTAATTTACCAACGAGAGATTTTATAAAATATTTATATCACAACTTTTAAGAGTATTATAGCCACACAAGTATTATGTTAAATATATATTCATAAGTTTAACAATCTTTATTTTTTTCTAAAATCCATACCTAATCAAACATTGCCTCATAAATTGAAACGGAAGAAATATTTTCATTTAAGAAAGATTCTCCTTTCCCTCAATATTATAATTTAAAAACACTAAAAATTGTAGAACATACCGTTCAAAGCTACACAACATATAGTCGTTCCCACAATAATAGCCAAAACAATATATATTATTGTATATTAATATATAATATACATATAATATGTATTTTATACGTGATTAATGTATTTTTTATACACATTTAGTTAGCGGCAGTTAAAAACCCAACCTATATAAGCTAATCCTTTTCTGTTAACGGACTAGGTAAATCTTAGCTTGTGGATCATAACGCAATAGAGTAACACTATGGTCTATGTTATACACTAGGGAGACAGACATAGAATATCCACCATATATAACAAATCAAGCGATCTGACGAAACCTGACAAATCAAATGAAGTTACCAAAACTTTCTTAATATATAGTCAATTGCTTCCAAATATTCCAAACTTTCGGGGTCTACTTTTCGTAGTGATGTTTGCTTCTATCAAGAGATTCCTTTTATTTCAATATTCTTACTGGTGGATCCTATGAGGTGAAGAAGAGGACCAGCCTTACACGGATTCCATGATTAAGAGTGTTTTTTTATTGGACTTTTGTGTAAAGTTATCCAGCTTTTCTNAAGTTCTAAATATTAGGATTTCTTACCTAGTTCAAAAAAGGAAAAATTTAATAACTAAAATTTTGTTTGATTTAGAAGTCCTAAATATAGAAAAAACAACTAAATTACAATTTTATCCAATATGAAATTAGTTTTTAAAGGGTAAAAAAAGCAAACAATATCGCTAAGGGGCTTCGTGCTTTTAATATAGTATATATATGAATAGATTGATCAAAATTCTTAATATTAGCCATCTTAAGTATGAAATATTTGACTGTAGCGTAGAAGGAATTACAATAGTATTTTGGATTTTTTTTTGTCAAACGTAAGAAATTCTCTTTTAAGTTTTAACCCAAAATCTCAAAAGGCATAATTTTTTATTACTAAACGAAAATTAAATTGGATGTAAAGTAAGAACAGGAAAGAAGGTAGCCTCAAAAATTTTAGAATCTTCTGACTAAGAAAGAAAACCTGCAGATTAGTCACATAAATCCATATTGAACTACATTAGGCTTTAAATGTGTAACATCTTTTAATCCAAAATCAGCATATTCTTTTACTCCTAAAAAGTTGAATTGGATGGTCAATAAGAAAAGAAAAAGAATTAATGAAAAATAATCTTCCAAAACCCATATAAAAGCATTTAAAACAAAAGCAAAAACAAACTAAAACAAGAAAAAACTCCAAAGATAACAACAATATTCTATAGAACGATCGGAAAAAGTATAAAGAACTCACCTACTAAGGAGCAATCACATATCGTTGGCAAAGTACTACAAATTAGCAAGCCTTTTTATACTATCAAGTCAAATAATATGGAAGGAATAAAAATTATATTACATAGTTCAAATAAGGAAAGAATTTATATAAAGAAAATCATAGTTGATTTTGAATTCCTAAAATATTTAGATTTTCTACATGGTTTAAATAAGGAAAGAATTAATAATTAATAATTTAATTGATTTTAAACTAATAATTAAATTACTAATTTATCCACTGTGGAATCTATTTTTAATGGGTAAAAAAGGTGAATGACATTTCACTAAGGGCCTTCGTGCTTTTAATATAATATAGATAGATAGATAAAAGGGAAGCTCCAAAGTCAATTGAATTACTAAACTACCCCACAAAAGCTGAAAGACCATTTCATCCTTCATTTTCTAATATTGCTTTCATGCTTCATTATCCCACTCTCGACACATGTTCTTTCCCACGTACGTATTGAGAATATACTGGGTTTGTTGTTGGAAAATTTTTATTTTGTGTTTCATACAACTGACACTAGTTGTATGAGGCTCCTTTTTGTCTCACAGTTTTGTGGACCCAGATTTCTGTGGACTCAGAAGTGTAAGATTGGGGTCCACAAATAAGTATGATGGAGTTTAAGCATAAGTACACTAGAATTCCAACATAATATACTGGAGTTCCAGCAAATATACCGGTCCAGCATAATATACTGGAGTTCATACACAGGTGCACCGAACTCCAGTATATTATGTTGGACCGGTCTCTGTTGCAGCAAAATAGTGACTATTTTTCATTTACTTGGTAAACGCTAGCTATTTTTGAATGACCAGTCCGAAAACTGGCTATACCGTGCTATTTTTACGTTATTGTTTGTTTCGTGCTTCATTATCTATTCATTGTTTATTTTGTTCTTTTCAATCGATAACTATAAAATATGTTCAAATGAGTACTTTTGCTATTTTCTTAGCCAAAATTCTTACAAGTATCTCTTGCTAAAGGGTGTTTTGCAGGGATTGGCCTGGAGTCGAGAAACACCTAGAAAAAAAATTAGATTTAAGTAAAGACAGTGAATAAGGTTCTGAAAAAAGTTCAGATATTGAGTGATCAATTTCACCGTCATATCAACGATGATCATCAGTCTAAAATTTCCGTTTAACGAATTATGATAAAATATATAGCAGTTAATAATTATTTTACATTTTGCTAATTGACCGTGCACTTCCTAATCTTCAAATTTTGTTCTATATCTTATTGACATGTTTAATATTTTGTCTGATTTTAAAAAATTTGTACTAATTGACATGAGATACACGTGCAAAGTACGTGTCCAGAAACTAGTATACTAACAAGTAACTAAAGTGACGAAAGAAACACGAAATTTGGTATTTGAATTTGAGAGTCGTGTATTCTCTTTTAAAGGGAAAAGAAAATGTCACATTAGCAAATCT